GCATGAGGCAAGAATGCAACTGCAGACTTAAATCCCCGAAGATGGTGCGCCGGGAAAGCGGGCCAAGAATCGATCAGTTCATGGGGTGCATGACAGTCAAGTCTGCGCCTTACTTCTCTCCCTCCCTCTCTCTCACTCTTTTTTTTTTTTTTTTCTCCCTCTTTCTACCTCTCCTCTCTTTCTCTTTCTACCTCTCCTCTCTTTTACTCTCTCTCTCTCTCTCTCTCTCTCTCTCTCTCTCTCTCTCTCTCTCTCTTCCTCTCCTTCTCTGCTCTCTCTACGCGCACACTCTCTTTTACTCCCCTTCTCTATCCCTGTTCGCATTAGGCGTCTAGATTTAGAAACAACGAGGGGGAGAGGAATGCAAGAGAGGAGAGGGGGGAGAGGACACGGAAAGGGGGGGGGGGGTAGAGAGAGAGAGAGAGAGAGAGAGAGAGAGAGAGAGAGAGAGAGAGAGAGAGAGAGAGAGAGAGAGAGAGAGAGAGAGAGAGGAGAGAGGAGAGAGAGAGAGAGAGAGAGAGAGAGAGAGAGGAGAGGAGAGAGAGAGAGAGAGAGAGAGAGAGAGAGACAGAGGAGAGAGAGAGAGAGAGAGAAATAAAAAAAATAGAGAGGAAGAGAGAGAGATAACGAGTGTCACGATAACAAGACAGTTATGCAATTTCCCGGGGTGAGGCGAAGAGAAGAGAGAGAGAGAAAAAAAAATATCCCTGGCATTAAAAGAGGATGCAGGCAGTTAATAAAAGCATGCAGAAGAGGTGGTTACGGAAGTGAGGATGAGAGGAGTGGGAGGATAGGAAGAAGGAAGAGCAGAGGAAGGGAGGAGGAGGGAAAGGAAGGCAAAGTTGGAAAGAAGGGAGAGACTGAGAGACAGAGAGAGAGAGAGAAAGGGGAACACAGACCCAGAAAAAAATATAACACAAAGGAGACACAGAAACACAGAAACCAAACACAATAAGACAAGCGAGGAAGGAACAACCGTAACCCCCTGCCCCCCTGCCCCCCTAGCCCTCCCTTCCTTCCCATCTTATCAATCGACACCTTCCCCCCCACCCTATTCAACCCCTACCCCCTACCCCCCACTCCCCTACCACCCCTCTTATCACACTTGAAAAGCTTCGCCCACCTATAATCCGCCATCCCCGCCATTAGTCCGTTTAAGCGACGTGTCCCACTTACCGAATTGCAAATCAGAGGAAATCAATTTAATGCAATTGAAGGTGCCTTTTTTTCTGGCACTCACAGAGAGTCCGTTGCATAACGAAGCCTCGAGGCGACGCTGCAAATAGGTTCAACGCCAAAGATACAAACGAGAGGGAGGGGGGGGGAAGAAGGAGAAGGGGGTAGAGGGAGGGACAGAGAGAAAGAAAGAGATAAGGAGGGAGGGAGAGGTAGATAGAGAAAGAAACAAGAGGGAGAGAGAAAGAAAAAAAAATAATACAGAGATAAAAAAAAGGGACTGGGGGAGAAGAGAAAAGAAACAGCCTACTTAATTAACCGATAATCTTCACCGGCCAAAGAATTCTCCATGCCAACCCCCTCCCCCCCACCACCCACCACCCCACGTCGAGCTAGGAGTCGCAGTGGCAACCGCCGGAGGATATTCATAAGCCTGTTCTCTCTCGATTCGTCTGGACAACAAGGACAAAAGAGCGAAGGGAGAAGGAGCGGCGCGAATAAAGAAATGAAGAGAGAAAGACGGAACAAAAGAAATTAAGAGAGAGAAAGAGAGGGATAGATGGGTAGAGAAAGAGAGAAAGACATGGATAGATAGGTGAAGAAAGAGAGAATGGGATGGATAGATAGAGAGAAAGACATGGGTAGATAGGTGAAGGAAGATATAATGATAGATACAGAGAAAAAAGATGGATAGATAAGCAGAGAAAGAGAGAGAGAGGAGGGTCTAAGGAGTAGGGGGGGGAGAGGAGAAAGAGGAGACGGAGGAAGAGGGAAAAAAAAAAAAAACTAAAACAAAAATAAGAATTGGAAAATGCACGAGAGGGGTGAGGGAGGCACCTTACGTAAACAAACCTCTACTCAGCGACCGGCGACGTGACTGCCAGTCGTACGACGTTGCAAGTTTTCCTCCCCCCCTACCCTCCCCTCATACACATCTCGCACCCGGGAAAACCACTTTGTTTGCAATATTTTTCTGACCTACATCCCCTGCCAACCTGCCGCCGTGCAGAGAGCAAATCAAAATCCTGCGACATCTGCCTGCCTCCACCGCGATGACCTACCTACATTTCAACTTACGTAACGCAAATGTGCGTACGTGTCGGACGGCTGGACTGGATGGCTGGCGGGCTATGCTCTCTTGTCTTGTCATTTCTGATCACTTATTTGCTTATTTTTTTTATATATACTTGAATTAAGAGGATTCCCCCCCCCCCCCCCCCCCCGAAATAAAAGAATCTCCGTTACATCGTGAAGTTAGATTGTCCGAAAGATAACATGGATAAGGGACGGATTTTTTTTTTTTTTTGCCACGTGTGCGTTGAAG